CTCCTCCTGGAAAGCTCCATCTCTCAGATATTTGCATGATTCATACCCTCACTTTTTGCAAGTATCACCTTGGTAGTATCTTCCCTTTCCCGTTATAGAGAAACAGGACCCCTTCTAGAGCCCCCACCCCCAACACTAAGTCCCTTACTGTATTGTTTTACTATTGATGTGATTGCCACCTGAAAATAATTTATTATCTGTGCTCCCTTACCAGAACGTGAGCTCCATCGGGCTAGGGAATAGGGAGTGAGGCTTTAGATAACTTCGTTCACCGCTAGAGAGGACCCAGAAAACTGCCAGGCACGACATAGGTGTTCAATAATTATATGAATTATTGGATGGATGAATAAGGGATACTGCTTACTGAGAGTCAGGCCTTCTAGGAAAGGTATTTGAAGGTAGGGCCCTTGTCGCCGAGCGCCTGTTCCCCACATGTTATTGGCCAGCAGGAAAGGAAGGAGGCTATGTTTGCAGGTGTGCTGAGCATGCTATATTGAACAATGTATCTTCTCCAGGGTGAATGCCGGGTACACCAAGTCGGGGGCACAAGCAGGGAAGGGAAGAGTGGGAGCAGCGCCCCCTAGCCCCGACAGCCAATGGCGAGAGAGACTGGTCAGGCGGCGGGGTCCAGCTGCATCCGGCCTGCCCACGCAGCCCTTCCGAGGTGGATGTGCTCAGCCCTCAGAGGAGGAGGCAGATGAAGGGCCAAAGAGCTCTTCGTCGTCATCAAACAGCAAGTACCTCTTAAGTCTTTCACTGCCTTCTTTAATTCTCGGCTTTCGGTGTTGGAATTTACCCTCGCCACTAGAAGCACACTGAGACCGAAGGTACGAGATTACCTTCCTCTCGTTTTGCTAGCTCTGAAATACAAAGCTGGATTCTCTGGGATTCCTTTCGGTGCCCATATTATGCTGTATGGAGGGTGAGGGAGGGATGCGGAGCTCAGCTGAGGCCCAGGAAGAGGCATTGCCAGGACCCAGAGTGGAGAGGGTGATGACGAGCTGGAGAGTTGACTTTCACAGTGCAAGTCCGAGGTCACATGTGGATGGGTGTGGGGGGGGGGCGCAGGCGGCCAGAACCGGTGTTCGCACGTGGGTGGTGAGTAGCCTTTGTGGGAGCCCTAGTGTGGCGTAGAGTTCACCGGCAGTGCCTGCTTCTAACTCTCCTGGGTTACAGTGCTTTGGGTAGTTTCACCCACTGGCACCAGTCCGGGTGAACGCAGGCACCAAGTGCCTCTGCCTGGGAGCAGGTGTTCCCCCTTCAACCCACGCTTTAACCACCATCTGTGCTCGGCGGGTTTACCGCCACTCAAATGTAACGGACTTCCTAGGAACTTCTACCAGTGCATGCCTCAGCTTTGTCTTCCTAGCAAAGTTCTAGAAATAATGTGTATGCTTGTACCCTGAGTTGATCACTTTCAAACCACAGGCCATATCACTCCCACCCCCTGCCTCAGTAGCAACCGAAAATTGTTCTTACTACAAAGATTATGATGATTGCCCACCCTCTGAAGGCACTCACTTCTTTTTCTCTTTGGGATTTGACAAATGGATTTTACCTTTTTATTTTTTTCCATCTGTTTAAAGACTATAGTCTCATTAAGAAAGTTGTCACAAATTGTCCTAAACCCAAAACATAACCAGGGTTCATATTTAGGTATATTTTCTTTGCTGCTGTTTATGCAGAGGTTTTTTGTTTTTGTTTTTAAGAGAAATTTTTGCTGTCGGGTGTGCACTCTTGCTGGAGAGACAGAGAGACAGAAGTGAGAAATCAGGTGGTGGGGGGAGAGGGATGGACACTCTGCAGTCCCTTACCCTCCATTCTCCTCTTGGAATTTTGGGCACGCAAGCACGCATGCCCAGCATGAGTTTCAAGCTGTGGGTCTGAGACTCAAACCATGGTCACTCACATGAGAGTCCAGCATTTTAATCACCATGCCACTTGCTGGCCCCCAGAGTTTTAATTCCATAGTTGTAATCCTCTTATTCCTACCTTCCGGGTTTTTTTGTTTGTTTGGTTTTGTTGGATTTTTTTTTTTAGAGGTTTTTGCTATAGGGCGTGTGTGCTATCCAGAAAGACAGAGAGAGACAGAAAGCCAGAAAGCAAGAAATCATCCCCCAGGGGGGATGGCCACATGCAATCCTTTCTCCTTCACTCTCCACTCGGGATCTTGGGCATGCACGCACACGCACCTGATGTGAGTTTAAGCCACCGGGTTTGGGACTCAAACCATGGTCAACTACATGGGAGTCCAGCGATGTAGCTATTACACCATCTGCTGGTCCTGTTTTTTTAAAAAAATAATTATTTATTATTTTTTTTTTATGAATTTTGCCAGAAAAAGAGAGAAAGAGAAGAGAAAGCAAAAGCAAGCCACCAGGTACAGAACTTGAACCGTGGTCAGCCATGTGGGAATTCTAGCACCTCGACCACCATGCTACCTGCTGACCCCCTACCATCTATTTTTAATCCTGCACATATTGTGTATTACTGCATGATAAAGTCATTTTAATGTCTGAAAAATTAAGTGGGTGTCATATTTTATACATTTATTGATCATAACTAGATTAATGTGTTGACAATGATTTACCGTTACATATAAACACCCTCATGCACAAAATTTTCTGTATTTGGTATTCTTCCCATATCCTGATTTCCCAGAGAAGGAGGTGCTGATTGAAAAGTCACACGTTTTTAAAGTTCTTGGTAATGGTGGACGTGCAGCTTTCCAAAACTGTAGCAATTAACATTTTACGCTAGCAATGTGTGTTTCAGTTCATTCTTATCATATGGTATTGTTTTTAAAACTTATTTTTGCCATTTTGATCATTTAGATGTGATGTCTCCTGGTTTGAACTAAGTCTGGACATTTTCTGAAATAAAGCATTTGCTTTTTTTTTAACCTCTATGAGTAAGCTGTTCAGAGTAAATTTAGCGGTATTCTAATGTATTTGTATTGTATCTTTCTTTCTTAAAACTATATTTTAATTTGAACTATAATTCACAGAAGAGTGTATTAAGCATAAATGCATAAATGTGCAGCTCAGTGAATGATTACCAAGTGACCACCCCTGTTACCCATCCCTGGGTCAAGGAATAGAACATCAGCAGGACCTAAGAGCCTTGGAGCAGGCACTTTTCTTCAGCCCCCTTACAAAGATAATGTTAAACTGACTTTTATGCTTTTTACTTCTTTACTCTTACCTCACTTTTTTTTAAGTTTATAGAAAAATAGAATTAAAGTATGACTTTACTTTGGTACAAAATGTTTTTTGAAATTCATGCATAGTTTTTTTCATAGTACACATTTTCCATGAACTCATGAAGCCCCTTAATACGGATGCATCTACTAAGAGTTTAATTTAGTTTTTAGTCTGTTTTGATGTTTTTGAAATGGAATTAGATGCTATGTAATCTTGTTGGGCTTTTTTTTCTTTTCTTTTCTCTTTTTTTTTTTTTTTCCACTGCTGGTTTGTAAGATTCATCCTAGTGGCAAGTAGCAGCAGAGCATGTGTTTTCATTACTACATAGGATTTTATTGAATGAATTTGTCACAATTTATTTATTGGTTCTACTGTAGAGGGACTCTTGGGCAGGTGAGAGATGAACCCGACCTCATATGATCCCAACTACAGTCCTCTGAGGATAGCTCCGATGTCCTCACTTTGCATAAGAGTAAACTGAGGTGCATAAGTGGAATAAAGTTCATAAGTGGAATAAAGGACTAAGAATAAAATTTGAGAAGGTAGAAGAAATATAAACAGTTCTCGACTTACTATGGTTCAACTTACAATTCATTTTTACTTTATGATGATACTTTACTATACCTTCTTTTGAAACATACTTCGAGTACCCATACAGCTGTTCTGTTTTTCATTGTCAATACAATATTCAATAAACTGCATTAAATGTTCAACACTGTATTTTAAAATAGGCTTTGCAGGGACCAGCAGTTGGTGTAATGGCTATGTCGTTGGACTCCCGTGTAGTTGACCGCAGTTCGAGTCCCAGACCCAATGGCTTAAATTCATGCTAGTTGCATGTGCATGCGTGTCTAAGATCCCAGGAGGAAGATGGAGGAGAAGGGATTGTGGCCATCCCCCGCTGGGGGTGATTTCTCGCTTTCTGTCTCTCTGTCTCTCTGGTGAGCAAATGAACCCTATAGCAAAAACCTCTCAAAAAAAAAAAAAAAAAAAACAGGCTTTGTATTAGAGGACTTTGCCTAACTGTGGGCTAATGTAAATGATGTTCTGAACATTTTTAAAGTAGGCTAGGTGATGCTCAGATATTCTGGAGGTTAGGCATATTAAATGCATTTTCAATTTACAGTTGGCTTATTAGGATGTAATTTCATCATAAGATAAACATTTGTAAACAGTACAGTGATCTATATGAGAGGAATACTTTATGATAGAAAATGTATTACAGAGGACACTAGGTCAATACTGAGCCTAATATAGTGACCTTCAACAGATGTTTGTGGAAAAAAAATCTCTATTTTTATATATAAGTATTTCATGTTCCTTCTCCCTCTCTCCTTTCTTTTCCCTCCCTCCTTTCCTTTCCTTCCCTCCTTTCCTTCCTTCCTCCCTTCCTTCCTTTCTTCCTTCCCTCCCTCCCTCCCTCCTCTCTTTCTTCTTCCTATCCTCTCTCCCTTTCTTTCTTTCTTTCTTTGGCTTTTGCCCGAGGGCATGTGCACTCACTTCAGGAGAGAGTGAGACAGACCATGAGAGGGAAAGTGAGAAATCATCCCCCAGGGAGATGGCTATGGTGCAATCCCTTCTTCATTCTCCTCAAGGATCTTGCGCACACACGCATATGCATCCAGCGTGATTTTCAAGCCACTGGGTCCAGGACTCGAACCAGTCAGTCATGTGGAAGGCCAGTGACATAACTGCTATGCCATCTGCTAGTCCCTGGTATTTCATTTCTAGTTTGTTTTTCCATTGGTCTAATTTATTCCATGTTCTACTGATTATTTTTCCTCACTGAAGCCTGAATACTGATCCATAGACAAGATGACAGATTCATCATCATCTTCCTTCTTTTCTGATTTTGGATTGCTATTGTATTTGGAGGAACTAAACAAAGAGGAACTAAATAAGTTCAAGTTACTCCTCAAGGAGACCATGGAACCTGGGCACTGTCCAATTCCTTGGACTGAAATGAAGAAGGCCAAGCGGGAGGATCTGGCTAACCTGATTAAAAAATACTATCCAGGAGAGCTGGCCTGGAATGTGACTCTCAAAATCTTTGGCAAGATGAACCTGAAGGGTCTCTGTGAGAGAGCAAAAGCAGAGATAAATTGTGAGTGATGCTGGGGACAGAACTTGGGGTGGGGAGAAGTAAGGGTTTCCTAGAGTCTAGAATAATTCTGTAAGAAGGAATTAAAGATCAAACCCTTATGTGTAATACAAGCTATGGTAGTCTTAGACATGGGGACCTTGTTGGGTCATTTAAGGAACAGTGAAGAGGCAGGAGAGTTTTGAGTACTATTACTCAGCCTGGCTTCTTCTGGGAACAATTCATCCATCTTGGACCAATCAAAATGATGAACTATAGGAATAGTCTCATTTAGTATGTCCTTTGCCAAAACTACAAATAAACTTATAGGTTAGACTTAATTTTGAGGAAGCTCAAATATGATTTAACATATTTCCTGAAAAAGGAGGAATAGGCTAAAAATTATTAAAAGGCATAGGCCAAGCCAGTATTTTTAGTCATTACTGGGTACAAGATATTATAGACACCTAACCTTATTCACATACAAGACTTTACAGGTACTATGTATATATCCATTATCTCCTCTGAGCCTCGCCATTTCCGAGATCAGTATAGGCAAGGGGACTGAGCACTATGCTCCAGCACTTGCCCTAGAGTTACAGGGTGGGAGGCATGACAAGGGGCCTCCTGCTTCTGTGGTTGTACTGCGTCTTCTTCCCCTGAGCTAAGCTGGTAGAGTCTGAGGCTCAGTAGACTCGTTTTCTTAAACCCAAATGGTCATATAACTGGACCACTGAGGAAAATACTGGCCCCTCTTCTGGCCATCACCTAAGCTTACCTCAGTTTTGCTACATCTCATATTTCTCTTGGAACCTATTACAGGGACAGCCCAGACCGTAAAACTAGAAGACACCAACACTGAAGAGGCACAAGCAGATCAGGAGGCAGTGCTGGGTGAGTAGATAGGTTTTCGTCTGGTTTGGGAGACATGGTAGATTTTCTTTTTAATAAGTGAAAGAGTATGTATATGGAGGTGAGAGAGAGAATGAGAAAGGTATTTTTCTCCATTGTGATGTTTTGGGGCAGTCTTCCAGTTAGCTAGGATTATAGGCATATGCTGTCACACTCAGCCAGTTCAGGTTGGTATAAGATCTGAACCTGGGCCTCCAGGTAACCCCAGCCTCCTGCAGCAGCACCCTGCCACATACACCATTGCAGCTGAGCCTCATGTATCCTTTTGAAGTACAATTGGGATGTTGTTCATAGGAGACAATTATGTTTTTAAAGAAATTTTTTGCTAGAGGGCACATGTGCTCACCAGAGAGACAGAAACAGACAGACAGACAGAAAGTGATAAATCACTTCCCAGGGGGGATGGCCACACTGCAATCCCTTCTCCTCCAGTCTCCTCTTGGGATTTTGGGCATGGACGCAAACACATCAGGTGTGAATTTCAAACCTCTAGGTCTGGGACTTGAACCATGGTCAGCCATGAGGGAGTAATATAACCATTGTGCCACCTGCTGGTCCCCTAAGGGGACCATTATTAAACTCTTGCTAACCCCTTGTAATATCTGACTTGTTCCTTGAAAATTATTCAAAAAGAGTCAACAAAACTGGCTGTCTGATCCAAATTTGGGTCATGTTAATTCAGGATCTCAAGAAAGTAGTATTTCGTGGGACCAGCAGATGGTGTAGTGGTTATGTCACTGGATTCCCACATGGTCGACTGCGGTCTGAGTCCCAGACCCAGTGACTTGAAACTCTTGCCAGGCGCATGTGTGTGCGTGTCCAAAATCCCAAGAGCAGAAGGGACTGCAGTGTGGTCATCCACTCTAGGGATGATTTCTTGCGTTCTGTCTCTCCGTGTCTCTGGTGAGTGCATGTGCCCTTAAGCAAAAATCTCTCAAAAAAAAAAAAATGTGGTGGTGCCACTCAATATATGCTGATTATCTGTATTCTTTGGCAGAAAGTGAAAGTTTCAAAAGGTATAGCAGCAGAGAGGGTAATGGTAAATACTAGAGCTAGTAAGGATAGGGATAATGTGGGGGGTGGATAGAGGAGGGAAGGTGTCAGGGGAAGAAAAAGGGAAAAAAAGTATGTTTAAAAATGAAAAACTATGGGAACCAGCAGTTAGTGTAATGGCTATGTTGCTGGACTCCCCCGTAGTCAACTGCAGTTCGCGTCCCGGACCCGGTGGCTTAAGCTCACGCCGGGCGCATGTGTGTGAGTGCCCAAGATCCTGAAGAGGAGAATGGAGGAGAAGGGATTGCAGCGTGACCATCCCCCCCTGGGGGGTGATTTCTCGCTTTCTGTCTCTAATGTCTCTCTCTGTCTGTCTGGCGAGCGCACGCGCCCTATAGCGAAAATCTCTCTCTCAAAAAAAAAAATAAATAAAAAAAAAAGAAAGAATAGAAAAACTATTTGCTTCTGATGATGTGGATGGTAATCTCTTTGTCTTGACCAATATGTATGGTAATCATGCTGGAAAAAGAAATGTTATACACTGTAAAAATATATGTGATTAATGTAATTTTTTAATGTAAAAATCAATCAGTATTTGGAAATGCCCAGTCAAAAGTTGACAATCCAATAAACAAGGGCATATTCATATGTGTGTTTTATGGACTGAAGAGTCCCTGAATTGACATATCATGTCGATTCCCTTCCATTAGAGATGATGCAGTAATCGAGTTCCAGGGGTGGTAACCTGCTAGTGGCAACCTGCTAGTCCATATAAAATCTAATTTCTAGAACCAGGTTTTCTCAGTTCAAGACCATTTCCATTTTCTCCACTTTGTTTTGAATTCTACATAGTCAAAGAGTTTATAAATAGAATTAGAGTTGAAAGAAAACTGAGCCAGGTAAGAAATCTTTATTCAGAACCCAGCTATTTTGCTTTCTGATGAGACATATTATTTCATTCAAGAAATAATTAGAACCTACTTCTTCCCAATCACTAATAAATTAAAATTGCTCATTGTAGTAAATGATCTTGACTATAATTCCCACTTTTACTTTTGTTTCTGATTCAATGTAAAGAAGTTTATCCTTGTGGTATGGAGGGAAACTAATGGCTATTAGTTTTTATTTTGTTATTATTTCTAACCTACTGGCTGTTTCCCTCCCACGCGTAGAAATTTGGACATAAATACCTAATAAAATGTGTCCAATGTATTCTTTTTGACAATTTGTGATAAAGGTAAACTATACTTATTAGAGAAATTTTGGAAAATACTATAAAGATGAAATAGAAAACAGGTAGCATAATAATTTACGGCTGTACTAATACCACACTTTGAATTATTATAGATTCATGATATTGGGTTGTTGGAAAAGTCACGAGGTATTTTTCCTGTTTTTTATTGCAATTTTCCAGCAACCTAAGATGTTGGTTTCGATTTTGGCTTATTTATTTATTTTAATGCTAGGGGGCATGTGCACACGAGAGGGAGTGCACATGCATCTCCCAGTTGAACCTGGTCACAGGCAATCCTTTTTCCTCCATTTTTCTATCCCATCAAGATTCTGGGCACGTGGGTGTAGGCACCTAGTTGTGGCTGTCAGGGGCAAGATTCAAACCACAGGCATCCATGTGGGATCCAACCACCTCTACACAGTATTTAACCACTGCGTTATAGGCCTCTGCCTTATGTGCAGTGGTTAAACTAAAACCATGATAGATTTTAGTTTTTGACAAATAGGGTTCCTCACCTCCCTGCCTGGTGGGCCATCATTTCTGTTTTCCAAACATTTTTGGCTGCCATCTGTTAGTTTATTTATATTGTATCTTTGTTTTTAAACTACACATAAGCAAATCAAGTGTATTTTTTAAAGGATTCAAATAGCACAGATATACAATTAGCAAGTTTATGTCTATCTCTCCCCACTTCCCATCCCCAAATCTGTGTTTAGAAATAACCAGTATTAACATTTTGGTGCACATCCTGTACGTTTGTTTGCACAAAACAAAAAACAAAGTTTGTTCTTTTTTTTTTTTTTTAAGTCAAGATCATACATGTTTCCTGGAAACTTGTTTTCTTTTTTAGCTATAATATAGGTTATTTTTGCATATTTGAGTTTTTGCATATAGTTATATGTTATTTTATTCAGAAGTTGCACATATCCAATTACATGGCTATAATCTTTCATTTTTTACTTAAAAATATATCTGGCACTTTTTCTGCACTAGAAGATGTGTTAGATTTTGGATATGCAATGATGAACTATTGATATAGCCTCCATTCAAATGTACCAATTTTTTAAAAATAATTTGCTATAGGGCTGGTGTGCTTGCCAGAGAAAGAGAAACTGAGAACCGCTGGGGGATGACCACTCCACAATCCCTTCTCTTTCATTCTTCTCTCAGGATTTTTGGGCATGCATGCACACACCTGACATATTTTCAAGCCATCAAGTCCAGGATTCAGACCTTATAGTCGGCCACGTGGGATCCAGCTGCCTCAACCACTGCACCACCTAGCTGGCCCTGTATCAGTTCTTCAAAGTTAATAGATAAAGTAATTACAGCTTGTGATATACACTGCAAATGAAAAATATACTGTGTTTTCAGACTATATGAAAGGGAGAACTATTCTAGCATTGTGGTTCAGAAAAGGCTTTCCTGGGGGCCAGCAGGTGGTGTAGTGGTTAAGGGCACTGGATTCTTACATGACCAACCACAGTTCAAGTCCCAGACCTGGCAGCTCACTTTCCCGCTTTCTCTCTCTCTCTATCTCTTCCTCTCTCCCTCTATTCCCCTCTCTGCTCAAATTACAATAAGTAAATCAATAAATAAAGTTAAATAAAATAATTCTTAAAAAAAAAGACTTCCCTGAGATAATGTCATTTATGTGGAAATATAAAGGTGGAATCACACTTAATAAACTGTATTTTCATTTTATTTTGGAATTTTTTCTTTAAAATATTCTTCAGGAAATATTTCTAATTTTCATTTATATATATTCATTTATCTTGTCGTTTGTATAAAGTGGATTGTTTGATTCGTAGATTCAAGTCTGCTTGAGGTCCTCTGGTTATTTTCATTAATTGTTGTCCCTCTTCCTTTTTTATCTGAATGACAGCTCTGTTCTCCACATATATCACCATTTTTCTCTGTAGAGAAAAAGTATAAAAAATATTTCTAGAGTGAATATTTCTAGAGTAATCTATTTTCCATCACAAATTCATTTTTCTGCATATCAGTTCTGTTTCCTTCCCTCCCTTCCTCCCTCTCTCTCTTTCTTTTTTAGATTTTTGCCATAGGGTATGTGCAATTACTGGAGGGGGTGAGGGGAGTGAGAAATCACCTCAGTGGGAATAACCTCGCACAATCCTTTCTCCTCCCATCTTCTCCTGGGATGTTGTTCATGTCTGAGCATCTGATGTGACTCTCAAGCCACTTGGTCCAGGACTTGAACCATGGTCGGCCATGTGGGAATCCAGCACCTTAATCACCATGCCACCTGCTGGCTCTGATTTATGTTCTTTTAAAAAAAATCTAAACCAGTTCAGTTTTATCCTATATTACCTCATGTCCCTCACTCCAAGTCCAGTGTTCTTTTTTCTAGTGTTTTTAATTAATAAACTTATACATGTGAGAAAGGGAGTGAGCACAAAATAGGGCCACGAACAGGGTCTTTTCATACCACAATCCTCCCCCCAGCCTTCCAGCCAGCCAGGATCATGGTGCACCTGTAGATGAACTCAGCATGTTCAGGGGTTTTTTTCTTTTTCTTTTTTCTTTCCTTCTTTCTTCCTTCCTTTCTTTCTTTCTTTCTTTTTTTTTTTGTTTTTTTTTGAGAAGTTTTCACTATAGGGCGCGTGCGCTTGCCAGACAGACAGACAAAGACAAAGAGACAGAAAGTGAGAAATCACCCCCCAGGGGGGATGGCCACCCCGCAATCCCTTCTCCTCCATTCTCCTCTCGGGATCTTGGGCATGCACGCACACACGCCCGGCATGAGTTTAAGCCACCGGTTCCGGAACATGAACCGCAGTCAACTACATGGGAGTCCAGCGACATAGCCATTACACTAACTGCTGGTCCCAACATGTTCAGGTCTTCTCAGGGTCCAAAACCTGGTCACCCACATGGCTCCAGCCCTGCACAGTAGAGCCTTATTACCTATGCCATCACAGTTAGGCTAAGTCCAATACTCTTAACATTACAATTCATAGAATTTGTTTTGATTTTGCATATCTTTTTTTGTTTGTCTTTCCTGCTCCATTCTTAACTGACTTAGGTGATGGAACACAATACAGAGTTCGAATAAAAGAAAAATTCCGTGCCATATGGGATAAGGAATTTTTGCTTGGAAGGCCTGAATATTTTCATCATAGAATTGCTCAGAAAGATGAAAATCTGTTGGAACATTTGTTTGATGTGGATGTCAGAACTGGTGAGCAGCCACAAACGGTGGTGCTGCAGGGGGCTGCTGGAGTAGGGAAAACAACTTTGGTCAGAAAGGCAATGTTAGATTGGGCAGAAGGCAATCTCTATCAGCACAAATTTTCCTATGTTTTTTATCTCAGTGGAAAAGAAATCAACCAGCTGAAAGAGAAAAGCTTTTTACAGTTGATATCAAAGGATTGGCCCAGCTCAGAAGGCCCCATTGAAAGGATCATGTCCCAGCCCGATAGTCTCCTTTTCATTGTTGATAGCTTTGATGAACTGAACTTTGGCTTTGAGGAACCCGAGTTTATCCTGTGTGAAGACTGGACCCAGGAACACCCAGTGTCCTTCCTCTTGAGTAGTTTGCTGAGGAAAGTGATGCTCCCTGAGGCGTATTTATTAGTGACAACAAGACTCACAGCTTCTAAGAGACTAAAGCCTTTGTTGAAGAGTGAACGTTATGTAGAGCTACAAGGAATGTCTGAGGGTGCAAGGGAGAAGTATATTTACCAGTTTTTTGAAGACAAGGACTGGGCCACGAAAGCATTCAGTTTAGTAAGAAACAATGAGATGCTTTTTGGCATGTGCCAACTCCCCCCAGTGTGTTGGATCGTTTGTACTTGTCTGAAGCAGCAAATGGAGAAGGGTGGTGATGTGGCATCAATCTGCCAAACTGTTACAACTCTTTTTACCTGCTACCTCTCTGGCTTGTTCACTCTAGCAGGAGGCTCTCCTAGTCTACCCAATGAAGCCCAGCTGAAGAGCCTATGCCACTTGGCTGCTGAAGGAATACAGACAATGACATATGTGTTTTACAGGGAAAATTTCAGAAAGCATGGGTTAACAAAATCTGTTGTCTCTATTTTTTTGGATATGAATATTCTTCAAAAGAACACAGAGTATGAAAACTGCTATGGGTTCATCCACCTGTATATTCAGGAGTTCTTTGCAGCTATGTTCTATATGTTGAAAGGCAATTGGGAAGCTAGTGACCATTCCTTCCAGTCTTTTGAAGATTTGAAGCTTTTACTTGGAAACAAAATTAATGAAGAGCCCCATTTGATGCAAGTGAAATGCTTCTTGTTTGGCCTTTTGAGTGAAGATCGAATAAAACAACTGGAGGAGACTTTTAATTGTAAAATGTCATTAGAGATAAAATGGGAGTTACTTCAGTGGATGGAAATATTAGGAACCAGTAAATGTTCTCTGTCACAGCTGGGATTTCTGGAACTGTTTCACTACCTATATGAAACTCAAGATAAAGCATTTATAAACCAGGCAATGGGGTATTTCCCAAAGGTTGTCATCAATATTTCTGGAATAGTCGATTTACTTGTGTCTTCGTTCTGCCTTAAACACTGCCAATGTTTGCAGTCCATTGAACTGTCTATAACTATGGTATTTGAGAAGAAGATGTTAAACTCAAACCCCACAGCTGAAACCTGGTAAGTGGGTTAGGTTGGTTCCCTGTGGTTCTTAGTATGTATCACATTATACCTAATGTCTACCTACTAATCCCAATGATGCTCTTTTTGGCCCTTATATAAGGTTGTTGGAAAAGTCATGATGCAGTTTTGCATAGAGAAACATAGAAAAATACATCATGACTTTTCTGATGACCCAGTGTTATCTTTCTTCTTGATATTGATTCTTCAGGTATTTGAAGACTTCTCCCTTTTCCCTCCGGATTCTTGTCCTTCAAAGCAAGTCTCTGTAGTTTTTATTTTTGTGTATATTGAAGGGGTAGATAGGAGATGGGGGAGCTACTGACAAGTACAGCCTCCCAAGTGCCCAGAGGAAGACTTCTTGGTGTCCTGTGCCCATGCCAGAGCTGCACTGCATACTCTTGCTATTCCACAGTACACTTACCTTTACCCTAGTGCCATCTTATGAGAGGTCTATGAGCTGAAATAGAGTCACTGCTCTTTTATTTTTCCAATTATTTAGGCAAAAGGATGGTGGTCACATTATTTGTTGCTGGCAAGATCTCTGTTCTGTGCTTCATACAAATGAACACTTGAGAGAATTGGTGCTGTGTCATAGCTATCTTGATGAACTAGCCATGAAGACTCTTTATGAAGAACTAAGGCACCCAAACTGTAAACTACAAAAACTACTGTAAGTCTGGCATGAAAAATATAATGGAGTTATTCCAATTTCCTTCTTCTCTTCCTTTTGATGATAGAAAATGTATATATGTGCACAAGAGAAGAGAAGAGAAAGAAGCACCCTTGACTAGGTCTCTTCAAAGTGAGCTCCTCTTTCTCTAGCTCTCAAGAGCCTCAGGATCTTGGGTGTAAACATGTACACCCAGAGTATTTTTTAAGCCAACCTCGGGATCCAGACCTGCAGTCAGTTAGGTGGCTTCCAGACTTGCAGGACACTTGCTTTACCACTGTAATAGAGTGGCTGCATTTCCAGTTTCTTTCTTTATCTCATCTTTCCCTCTTATTTGTTAAGGAAAACCAATAGTAAACAAAAACTTATTGGGTCATTGGAAAAGTCATCATGCACTGTTCTGTTTTCCTGTGCAAAAATGTATCATGACTTTTCCAACAACCCAATAAAATCCATGTGTAAAATAGTCTAACAACAGGAAGGATGGATACCTCTGGGGACATGGGAGCATTACTAGTTCTGGGAGAGTCCACAATGTATAGTAGCTGTTGACATGAGAGAGAGAGAGAGAGAACACCAGAGAGATGGAAAGTGAGAAATCAACCCCCCAGAGAGGATGGCCATGCCACAATCCCTTCTCCTCCATTTTCTTCTTGGAGTTTTGGGCATGTAACACGTGTGACTGGCATAAGTTTTAAGCCACTGGATCTGGGACTCAAATTGCAGTTGACACTGTGGGAATCTAGCGATGGATGTAACTATTATGTCATCTGCTGATCCTTATAGTAAGTATTTTTGATGTCCATACTTTTGCACCACCAAATATTTTTATCCACGTTGTTGCATATGTCAATATTAGTTTCCTTTTTATTGGTAATTAGTATCCCTCTGTATGAATACATTATAGTTTCTTTTTTTAATTTGTCAGAGGTTGTGTGTGTTTTCAAGAGGGGGACAGGGAGAGGGAGAAAGCACCCCACAATGGGATGTGGTCATACCACAATCCCTTTGCCTCCATTTCTGTATCTGGTCAGAATTTGGGGATGCATGCACACATGCCTAGCATGTTTCCCAAGCATCCAGGGCTAGGATTCAAATTGCACTGTGGGTCATGTGAGATCCAGTTTCCTAAGCACTGGACCATGGGACCATCCCTCACTCTCTTCTAAATAGACCCCAGAGTCATTCCCAATGTTCGCAATTAAATAGGCTGCTATGACACTTTACAAATCTTTTGGTGTGTGTGAGACATGTATTTTCATCTCTTGGATTAATACCTAGGAATGGAGTAGCTACTTCTTAGAACCATCTTTTACTTTTTAAAAAATTCCCAAACAGTTCTCAAAGTGGTTGTACCATTTTATTTTCCCATCAGCAGTATATAAACATTCCAGCTGCTCTTTATTGCCAGTATTTGATATTATCAGTCTTTTTTTTTTTAGATCCTAACTTAATATTAGATACTTTTCTCGCTTTTTTGCTCTTCACCTTATCTGTCTCTTTCTTATCACTTGGCTCTGTTAGGAGCTGGAACTGATGCCACTTTTCTCTGTATTTAGTGCCCATAGTCCATTTGGTATTCATTATGTACTAAATCCTGAATAAATGATAGATCTTTATTTCCATTAGCACTGAAAATAGGTGTGGGCTTTTGGGGGATATAGGCTTCCCATCAAATACTTTCCTTTAAAACAAAAAACAAAAACAAAAAAACAACTCTGTTTTTAGTGAGTTCTGACTTTAGATTTCAAGCAACGTGAGTAGGTCTGATTTTGCACATGATGGGGTAAGGCAGTTGGCTATATGCTGTGATTAAAGAGTACATGGAAGGAAGGCCTTTTCACTCATCCTACACATTTTTCCACATTGTCTCTTCCCTGAATGTCACCAACCCAAATCTTAACAATAGCTAATGCTTTCTTTTGGGTTAAATGGCTGCTTCTTTTAGTATACAAGGGTCCCTTGGTGGAGGATGACCCTATATGACTGGTCTCAGTTTTTGCCACCTGGGTGTGACTTTACTTATTCAGGCCCCTATCTCTATCAAGTGGGATTAAGCTTTCATTCTATATTGACTGACTGCTGTAGGTACTTTGACTAGATGAGGATGGTTAGTGGTCTTAATGGGTGAAAGCTTATTTTCTTGTGTGTGCTTGGCTAGAGGGTGGGGAGAGTAAGAGTGGAGAGGATTTTTCACAAGTAGAAGGGGAGAGGGAGGTTTTGAAGTTAGCTGTGTGAACACACTGGGAATCTGGGGCTAGCAGAGGCATTGTAGATGAACCATATGTATCTACTATCAACTGACTTAGGAGGTGGAAAATAGGAAGAAAAGGCACATTTCATTTATTCCATATTTTGCTTCAAGCTGTCTCTGTACACCTGGCAAAGTCTACAAACTGACAGTGCATATTTTGTAACAATCTGTTTTGCTGTTGAAATGCATCAAAGAGTTGAGATGCACTGAGCTCATTTTGGATAATTTAAAGGATTTAAATACTGTGAATTAGTGTTTTAATTGCAGTATTAGGAGTGACTCTGATCATTTTTGATAGTCATTTATGGGATTAACAATTACAAGGGCCTGTAGGTGGCATGATTGTTAAGAGCACTGGGCTCTTATATGGCTGACCGTGGTTAGAATCCCAGATCTGGCAGCTTGCTTTCTCATTTTCCTCTCACTCTCACTCTTGCTCTCTCTCTGTCCCTCTCTGGTCAAAATAAAATAAAATAAAATAGTTAAATAAAATAATTCTTAAAACAAACAAACAAAACTACAAGACTCTCTTCAACTTTTCCTGATGTTCACCTTTGTTTCCTTTGGGGTCAAAAAAAGTTGAAAGTGTCAGTTGTCAGGATATAAATGTAAATCCAAGTTGTAACCTAATTGTTTTGCTTGCTTGCTTGCTTTTTTTTTTTTTTTTTTTTAAGATTTTTGCCATAGGGCATGTGTACTTGCTGGTGAGAGACAGAGATAGACAGGGAAAGTGAGAAATAATTCCCCAGGGAGGATGGCCATGACACAATTCCTTCTCCATTCTCCTCTTGGGATTTTGGGCACATATACATATGTGACCAGTGTGATCTTCAAGCCACTGGGCTCCAGCTCCTTAACCTTCACGTCACCTGCTGGTTCCACCTAATTGTTTTTCAAAGTAATATCCTAAAATTTGGATTTATGGCCTTACCTAGAATGTGAGAAACCCATAGTAAGATAAGAAAGATAAAGTAATATTCATGTAATACCCAAGAGCTAGATTTGAAAAGACAGGGATGTTATAACATAGGGCAGAGATGATTTTTGTAAACCCTCCTGCATATTTTTCTTTCAAAGGTTGAGATTCGTCTCTTAAAATGACAGTTGTCAGGATATTTCTAGTTCTTTGATTCACAACCAGAATTTGATGCATCTTGACATGAAAGGGAGCAACATAGGGGATAATGGAGTAAAGTCATTATGTGAAGCTCTGACATTCCCAGAGTGTAAACTACAGAACTTAAGGTAAGTGTTGAGTTTTTAATAATAATTGAGACTTTCTCCAGCAAATAGACTTACAGCCTGGACTGGCTGTTCATAGGGCCAGCTTAAATCTCATTTTCCAATGAAAGACCATTAAATCAAACAAAACAAAAGTCATTGTAGTACGTTTTACCACGAACATTTTTTTAATCCCTGGATTCAGTTCAGGGGGTCCCAAGACAAAACCATGATGCATGACAAGTTTAGATAGGTCTGTATTTGTGGGAAGCAAATTATATTCTAGGTGTAGGGGAAAAAAAAGTAAAATCTGAAGTGATCTTTTTGAAAATAGGCAGATGAATTCTATTATTAGGATTCTCTTTTAAGTCTTACCAGTTTTTATGAGGTGAAGTTCACATACTACAACCCTGGAATGTTTTTGGAAAATTCTTGAACATGGGTTGAGTTCACTTGTCAGCAGACCAGGTTGAAGTAGAAGTTTTGTGTTTTTATCAGCTGTGAAGTAGTTTTAAAACATTATGAGGAATTTTCTGTAACTGTTAACCTCTGGTCTGGAACCCAAGAGAGAAATATGTTACTAGTTCCTGTTCTGAAATTAAAACACAGTAGTAGCAAAAAACTGTTCAAAGGAGATAAAACATTGTTTTGTTTTGTTTTTATATATAGTGGAAGTTATAGATCTAAGACAAAAAGCCTTGACACTTGACAGATCTCTTTTAGTTGAGGTTTTTTTTTTTTTTTTTGGAGAGATTTTCACTATAGGGCACGTGCGCTTGCCAGACGGACAGAGAGAGACATAGAGACAGAAAGCGAGAAATCACCCCCCAGGGGGGATGGTCACGCCGCAATCCCTTCTCCTCCATTCTCCTCTTCAGGATCTTGGGCACGCACGCACACGCGCCCGGCGTGAGTTTTAAGCCACCGGGTCCGGGACACGAACCGCGGTCGACTACGTGGGAGTCCAGCGACATAGCCATTATGCTAACTGCTGGTTCCCTCTTTTAGTTGAGGTTTGAATAACGTCTCCCACTGATAATCCTTGACATAGACTAGGCTTTCAGATAGGAAACAATCTGTCTGGGTCAACAAGTATCGCTCCTTGCACCACTGAATGAAATGCTTTGGAAGAGGTCATTGGAGCTTTATAATAATATAATACTACATGGTGTGAGACTAGGCGGCCACTGAGAAGTAATGTCTTTTTGACCTTCTATTAACATTTTGTGTGGGGAAAGTTCTAGTTTTCTATTTGGATCTCATAAGAGCCACAGATAGTATAAATGCCCTGTTAGTATAAAGGCTCCTTCTCTTGGAAACACCATTCTTCTGATTTTTCTGTCATCTGAGGTGTATTCATACTGCCTTCAGGAAACACGTAGCATCTGCCATCATATTCCTCCAGCAACAACTCTATCCTGTCATCTTTCATTTTCCAATTCATGTCAAGAAAATAATCTCACACTCACAGCACACACACACACACACACACACACACAAAGTATGAAAATCTTAGGCAACCTGGACATTACACAGCAGGCACTTTTGGAAGAGAGAGATACATTCGCACAGGTGCTGTGAGAGCCTGGCAAGCTCATTCCTGGGAGCAGCAGTTTGTCTTTACTGAAGAAGAGTAGCTTTCATTTGGATTCAGGACCACTTTATGGACCCATACTCGTGACAGCTGGTCATAGCCATAAACAGCAATCGTAAGGACAACAAGAAGATAAAAATTACCATGTTCTTTTAAGGGGTTTTGGGAATTTGCAGCTAAGGGTCTTGTTTTAGTGGCACTATGATGAAAGAGTGGATCAGTCCATGGTATGGTGGTTAAGGTGGCTAGATCCCTCATGGCCAACTTCACAGATGAAGTCTCAGATATGACAGCTTGAAAAACTTGCCAGACATGTATACATGAGTGTGTGCCCAAAATCCAAGAGGAGAATGGAGGAGAAGGCATTTTTTTTTTTTTGAGAGATTTTCACTGTAGGGCGCGTGTGCTCGCCAGACAGACAGAGAGAGACATAGAGACAGAAAGCGAGAAATCACCCCCCGGGGGGATGGTCACGCCGCAATCCCTTCTCCTCCATTCTCCTCTCGGGATCTTGGGCACGCATGCACACGCGCCCGGCGTGAGTTTTAAGCCACCGGGTCCGGGACACGAACTGCAGTTGACTACGTGGGAGTCCAGCGACATAGCCATTACGCTAACTGCTGGTTCCCGAGAAGGCATTTTTGACATGGTCATCCCCCTCGGGGATGATTCCTTGCTTCCCCCTCCCCCATATCTCTCTGGTAAGCACATGTGCCCTATAGCAAAAACTTAAAAAAAAAAAAAAAAAAAAAAAGTTGGCTAGGCTTCCCAGAGGTCCGTCCTTAAGGTCCTTAAAGGCCTTATTTCCAAATGCAGCCACATTGAACATTAGGGCTTCTACATGGGAATTTTGAAGGGACATAATTCAGCCCATACCTCTTTCAGGTTTGCAGCCTTAATCCATTTTCTAGGTCCTTCATTGAGATCTAATTCTAGACTGAGTAGGGAATTTCTTCTCTTCCTCCCTGCACATGCATGTTTTTTATGAGAACTAGTACTGGTGTGGTTCAAGTCCTTGATTAAAGGGAAGATCTAGAGCAGTGCCAAGTGTGGTGGATACTGTTTGCTGCCTGTCTACACTCGCAAATAGCAGGCAGCACTCCTAGCCATGAACAAAGCACGCAGTGTCTCCATGTAGACACTTTCTCTGTCTCCTTTTCTCTTTTACTTTATTTTTTGGCAATAATGTTATTCTATTTCTGATTTGAATCTTGTTTTCACTCCTAAGAACTGAATTCTTCAAAAACTGTGGGTTCCTCAGAAAATATGGGGGCTCATGGGAAGCACAGCTTTGCTTATGACTTCCTGCCCATCTCTGTTCTTTTTCTGAAGCCAGAGTGTGCAAAGGTACAGGCGTCTTTCAGCTCATCTCCTAGATGGTTAGAGGAAATGCTTCTTAGGTAAAATAGAGAATACCATGTAAATGATGCCATACATATTTTCACAGGGAATTTGAGAGATGGAGATAGGAGAGTCTAGTTTCTTCCTCCCACTCTCCTTAATTCTCTGTCGGAACCTTGTAGTTTAGTTAAATAACTCTTGTTCCATGTAGGGAAGCTGGAATTTGACAAGATCCCAAAGACGGGTAGAACCCCACTCTGTCTAGGTAGGTGGTGGCTGTAATTTTTCTCTAAGAAGTTATCATTTCTGTTTTTCTGTCTTATTTTCCAGGTTGGAATCCTGCAATCTAACAACAGTTTGTTGTCAAAGTATATCTAAGGTTCTCACCGGAAACCAGAGCCTCATATTTCTGAATCTGTCAACCAATAATTTATTGGACAATGGAGTACAGCAGTTATGTGAGGGCTTAAGACATCCCACGTGTCACCTAGAACGACTATCGTGAGTTTTTGTTTTGTTTTCTGTAGAATAATTTTGTTTGGTCCTACTTAATTACACTCTAAAAGGGGTAAATACTTGGATCTGGACACTGATTGGCTCATCTGTCAATCCTAGATGAGTTCTACCTTCCCATTCCTTTTTCCTCTATTTCCCTGCCTCTTTTACTCTTAGAGGCTTCTTTTCCTTCTGCTTAACCTACTGTCATTTTCTTTGCTTCTCCTTTCCCCTTCTCCATTTTGTTTCATCATACCTGTACACATCTGCAATAGAATTCATAAATTAAGTAGGATGTTTTGAGGTCTAGTCTGTGGTAAAGGTACAGGGGTTGTAAGTACCAGGCCATTTCCCTGTGAAGGAGAAGAGAAGAGTTTGGGGAACTTACGGATCTCTTCCCATTTGTGTTTTTCATGCAGCTTAGAAAGCTGTGGCCTCACAGAAGCTGGTTGTGAGGACCTTTCTTTGGCTCTCATCAGCAATGAAAGACTGACGCACTTATGCTTGGCAGACAACGCCGTGGGAGATGGTGGAGTAAAACTTATTAGTGATGCCTTGAAGCATCCACAGTGTACTCTACAGAGCCTCGTGTAAGCATCTCCTAGTTTGCATCCTTCCAGTATACGTTTTGAGATAAATTTAAAATTGGAAAATATTATTACACATGTTCTGTCTCTTTTTCCCATTGTTCTTCCTTAATGAAGATAATGATCCTGAAATTAATAACATCTATTTATGGTGTCTTTAGTCTATTTTGGACCCTGTACTAAATCTGTTTAACCTGCACAACAGTACAGGTGAGGTACCATCTGAGGTACTGTGCAGGTGGAGGACAGGTTTAGAAAGACAATGCAACTTGCCTGAGTTCTCACTAGAAAATGCTGGATGTAGAACTTAATTCTACTACCTAACCAGCTCTATAATCTGGACTAAGAATGAATGCTATTAAATGAAAATGCAGGGACCAGCAGATAGCATAATGGTTATATCATTGGACTCCCACAATGATTACAGTTTGAATCCCAGACCTGGTGGCTTAAAACTCATGCCAGGCGCATGGGCGTGCCTGCCCAAAATCCTGAGAGGAGCATGGAGGAGAAAGGATTGTGGCATGGCCATCCTTCTTAGGGGGTGATTTCTCACTTTTCTCTCTCTGTCTATGGCGAGCACACATGCCCTATAGCAAAAATCTCTCTAAAAGAAAAAAGAAAATACAGTTCTTGTTGGTATAACTGTATCAAAGTGAGATTTTTCTGTTCATTTTTTTAGGTCATTTCCTAGAGGTGGAATTGATGATCCAAATTTTTTATTTTGTCAGGTATGGGTAAATTGTCTGCCAGGTTGGTTGTTCATATTCTTAGCAGCAGTCTAGGGGCCAGCATTTTAATACCTTTACTGGGTGTCCACAATCTTTTGGATCAGAATTAATTAGCTAGATAAAAAATAACTTCTAAAGTTATTTGACATTGAAGATTTTTTAAAAATGTTTTTGGCCTTTGTAGTCTAGGAATTGCCTCTTCATGGGTGCAGTTTTTTTCTGGATGTTTTCTGTTATATTTGTTATATATTATGGTTATTAATTATCACATATATATTCTTATGTATTATAGATAATTTACTAACCTGTGGCTTTATTACTAATTTTCTTATGGTCACTTTTAGAATATAGAAGCTTAAAATTTTTATGAAGTCAAATTCTGCCTCATGACTTCTAGTGGTTTTTCCATAATTAGAAATTCTTCTGTTTAAAAAAAAATACACTTATGCCATTTTGTCCTACTATTTATGGTTTAAATGTTTTAAATAATTATCTATGTAATTTTATCATCATCATCATCATCATCGTTATTAATTTGACAAGAATGAGACAAAGAGAGAGAAGGGGAAAGTGAGAAAGCAAGCTACCAAGTTGGGGATTCAACTACTTTCAGCCATGTGGAAGTCCAGTGCCCCAACCACCATGCCACCTACCAGTGCCATGGCTTAATTTTCAACTTATACATGATAAGTTATTATAAACTTAGTCCAAACTTAACAAAATAATTCCAAATTGATTTTGTTTTATGGTTTAAATGTATTTCCCCTATGTATCAGGTCTATTGTACAAAAATCATTAATGGCATAATATGTCTCCTCCTTACTGATTGAAATGCCACTTTTACTATGTACAAAGTGTACTTACTTTATTTATGATTACTCCTATTCTGTTCCACCTGCCTGCTCCTTTAGTCCATGCAGCTACTTTGGTAAGAAGATCCTATATGTATATACAGTATAAATGTTATATAAATATAACATTTGATTCATAGTAAGAAAAATCGTGAAGAACATGAATCCAGCTTGTAGACCAATCTGATGTAAACCTAATTTTCCCAAGTGAGACAGGCTGACAAGGAAGGTGTTTGATCTGAGACAGAGTGTTGGCAAGTAGATAAAGGATCTTAACGTTAAACGTTTTTAAAGATATAAATATCATGGAAGTGGGCAGTTGTTCCATCTTTCCTCGTGTTGTCCTTCCCGTAGGCTGAGGCGTTGCCACTTCACTTCACTTAGCAGTGAATCTCTCTCAACTTCTCTTCTACACAACAAGAGCCTCACACATCTGGACCTGGGATCTAACTGGCTACAGGATGAGGGAGCAAAGCTTCTGTGTGATGCCTTTCAGCACCCATGCTGTCGTCTTCAGGACTTGGAGTGGGTTTGCTTTTAAGTGACTTTACTTTTGTGTAGTTTCAACTACAGGACATCTGCATGTGCAGGGAAGATACAGAGGAAGGGTTGAGACTCATTTCTATTAGAGAAAAGAATATACGGGAAACTATTTTCTCTCTCAGTATGCCTGAGAGAGGATAAGGATGTCTGTTCATCATATTTTTAAAAACAATTACGGGGACCAGCAGTTGGCCTAATGGCTATGTTGCTGGACTCCCATGTAGTCAGCTATGGTTTGAGTCCCAAACCTGGTGGCTTAAACTCACGCCAGGCACATGTGCATGTGTGCCCAAAATCCCAAGAGGAGAATGGAGGAGAAGGGATTATGGCATGGCCATCCCCTTTGGGGGGTGATTTCTTGCTTTCTCTCTCTCTCTCTCTCTCTCTCTCTCTCTCTCTCTCTCTTTCTGGCGAGCACATGTGCCCTATAGCAAAAATCTTTCCAAAATAAAAAAAGACCCAACTGAATGCTCATGAATGCCCTGCAAAGGACCTGGAAGAAATATCTTTTCATATGAAGCTTTCTCTTTTGGAGGTAACACTTCAAGATGATCCCTGAAAAGCTTTTTTATTTAAAAAATGTATTAAAAATTTAAAGCAGAGAGATCACTGGATTACTTGGGAATGCTTTTATCCATTCTATTACGAATGGATAAAAATCGTTTATACCCTTGATCTTGAAAACCATATCTAACAAACTATGATAGAAAGTCTTTTTTTTTTCTTAAAAAAGGAATTATTTTTAATTTAATTTTTAATTTATTATTATTATTTTTTCATTTTTCCAGAGAGAGAGGGAAAGCTGCCAGGACTCAAACCATGGTCGGCCATGGTAGTCCAGCATCTTAACCACCAACCTACCTGCTGGCCTTGGGATAAAAAGAGTTTTATGTGCTGGTTTTCTCTCATTAAGAGATTCAATCTGTTTTCACTGGTTATATTAGACCTTCTCATATGCATTCTGGATTATAGACAGAAAAGACTCAAAAGAAGTTCAAGCAACTGGCATCTCTTCTATGAAGAAATTAATTAAACCTCACAATCGAGTGATTCACTTCTCTGTTGTATTCCTTGCAGATTGATGGGCTGTGTTCTCACTAGTGCTTGTTGTCTGGATCTGGCTTCTGTTCTTTTAAACAACCCAAACCTGTGGAGTCTGGACCTTGGGAACAATGACTTACAGGATGATGGAGTGAAAATTCTGTGTGATGCTTTGAGGCATCCAAACTGTAACATTCAGAGGTTGGGGTGAGTTCACAGTTTTCCATTAGGAAAATGACATATGGAGGTTAGTATAACTACAAGTATTTTAGTATATGGAGAGAGCACAAAAAATAACTAGGACACAAAACTAAGTTGCTCTCAGAAATAAGACTCTGAATTTCAAATGTATGGACAATGTGTTACTTTTTCTTTGGTATAGAAACCATATTTTCCATTTTTTTATCACCTGTAGTGCTTTGGACAGATAAGAATTAAGTAAATGATGCCTGATTTGGGTCTTCCTTGTTCTGTCATCCTTCAGAAATTCTATTTTTCTCTTAATTCATTTTTCTTATTAAATTGAAGATTTTACTAATCATCTTCTATCTGCAGTATGGTATCTATGTTCTCAAGGAGCTGACAGTCCTACATGCCTGGTACAGTTTATGTAATTTAGATTTTTATTTAATCTAGAACTTAATATTAGCTAGTAATTTTTCATTTATGCAGCATAAATTATTGACCTCTGGATCAAGCACTGTGCCTCATCTATGAGGGAAGCCCAGACACAGTGATGTGTCTCATCCTTTAGGACTTCAATAGTTTCTCAGAGAAATTTCTCCTGACTCTTCCATGAAAGTGCTGCTTTTCCTATGTTTTCATTGACTGTTTAATCTCTTTATCACAACAATGATGGTGTTATAAATGTTGTGTTTGAGATTTAATTGTATCCTACTAATAACCTAGTAAGTTAACCTGTTACTGTTTCATGGACGCTGGCATAAAACAGAGACAAAGAACTTACTATGTATAGCAGAGCAACAGCCAGGAGCATAGCGTGTTCATGTTCATTCCCTTTGTCCCCCACGTCTCCCGGGCTGAATTGGAGAACCCATATTGATGTAGGCTACACTCAAGAAGAACAACATTGAGTTTGAGATACTCACCCTTCCCATTTTACAGCAAGCAAGAAGTAAGCCTGCTCTTTGTCCTGGGTGGAAATATTATTTTATCCCTCATGGCTACTCATTAAACACAAACCTGGGAAATGGCCTAGGTAAACATTATCAGAGTCTTGCATTTTATTTGCAAAACATGTAGGAGAGTGACAGACCTATGAAGAATATCTTCTAATAATATCCACCCCATTTCTCACAGTAGAGCCATGACTAAGTAACCATAGTCCTTGAATTTACCCTACTGTGTTCATTTTTTAAAGTTTTTGGAATTATCCTCCACTCCAAGCTCACCGATTTCTTGTCTGCTTGCTCTCTGTCATAAGATAAAATTATTTTTGTCTTTTCTCTCTGTTCCCTATAGGTTGGCGTACTGTGGTTTGACCTCTCTCTGTTGTCAGGATCTTGCCTCTATGCTTAGCAGCAACCAAAGACTGACACAAATGAACCTGACACAGAATACGTTAGGATGTGAAGGAATTATGGAGTTATATGAAGCTTTGAGGTCTCCTAAATGTAAACTACGAGTTCTAGGGTAAGTCTTCATTGGTTTCTCAGGGGAAGAGTTTCTTGTAATGAGGAACTTGGGGAGCTACTCATTTATTACAGACCTCAGAATCAACCTGAGTGTGGGTCCTTGAGTATTTTCTAGTCACTTATTTATTTTCTTCTCACAGAACATTGAATTGTGAGAGACATACATAGCCTAGTGATTAAGAGTTGAGCACTCAGGGGACAGCAGGTGGCATGGTGGTTAGGGCCATTGGATTTCCACATGGCCGACCACAGTTCAAGTCCCAGACCTGGCAGTCTGCTTTCTCTCTCTTTCTCTCTCCTCTCTCTCTTCCTCCTGCCCTTCCTCCCTCTCTGGTTAAATTGAAATAAATAAATAAATATACAAATAAATAAAGTTAAATAAAAGATAATTCTTTAAAAAATAAGAGTTGAGCACTAAGGAGCCAGACTACCTGACTTTGAATTCTGGCCCTACCATTTACTAAAAATTTAGGTTAGTCCCCTAATCTATTTTTTTGGTTTCATTATCTGTAAAATGGGTACAGTGATAAAAATCTACCCATATGGTTACTGAGAGCTGAGTCAGTACAGGCCAGTTAGTTAGAATAGTGCCTAGTATCATAATTAATAATGTGTTAGTTGTTTTACTCATTATTGTTAGTAGTCCTGTTTTATTTGGATAGAAAAAATGTTCTTGGAGGGCTCACCCTCAGTAGCGTGTGCAGCAAAGACACTATCCTCTGTAGGCTGGGAGCATATAAGGAGGCTGAGTTCAGTTGCCAGGCTAACTGAAAAGCCAGGCATGGTAATACCACATACCTGTACCCAAAGACTTGAGGAGGCTGAGGCAGGATATTCTTGACACAGCAAGATCCTGTCATTATTATTATTGTTATCATTACTATTATTTTAATTACCAATGAGTGCAGGCACTTGCCAGAGAAAGAAAGTACCCAATGGGGTATGGTCATAATACAAATCCCTTCTACATAATTTCTCTATCCTCTCAGGACTTGAGGCACCCATGCACATGCTTCTGATGTGTTTTTTAAGCCTCTAGCTCTAGAATTTGAACCATGTGCTTGGCCATGTGAAATCTGGCTCCCTTAAAAACCAGACCATGTGTCTGGCCTGAGATCCTGTCTTTAAAAAAAAACAGGGGGTGGGGGGAAGGCAGGCGGCATGATAGTTAAGATGCCGGACTCCCATAGGCTGACTGTGGTTTGAGTCCCAGTTTTGGTGGCTTGCTTTCTCTCTTCCCCTCTCTCTTTCTCTGTCTGTCTCTGGTCAAAATAAAAATAATTGGGATCAGCAAATGGTGTAATGGTTACACTGGACTCCCACGTAGTACACTGTAGCTTAAGCCCTTGGCCCAGTGGCTTAAAACACATGCTGGGCATGTGTGTGCATGCCCCAAATCCTGAGAGTAGAATAGAAGAGAAAGGATTGTGGTGTGGCCACTGCCCATTTCTCACTTTCTGTCTCTTTCTGGCGAGCACACACACCCTATAGCAAAATTTCAAAATAAATAAATAAATAAAATTAAAAACAAAAAATAATTCTTAAAAAGAAAGAATAAAGCTCTTAGAATATTTTTTTTAAATTTTAATATATTTTTCTCATTGTATCTCTCAGTTCCCTTCTTTATTCACCATCCATGTTAGTATTCTCTTTCTACTTTAGTAGAATAGGTTGTTTCTTGTTTGTTTTTTTTTTTTTCCCCCTCCTGAAATAAATCCTTCACAGAGAAAGTGGAGGGCAGTGAGGAAACTGAGTATAAGAAAAGAGATGCTTCCTTGTTTTCTCAGGTTGTGCAAAGAGGCATTTGATAAGGAAGCCCAGAAGCTGCTGAGAGCTGTGGAAATTAACAATCCAAACTTAGTCATCAATCCTTATAGTGATCATGCTGAAGAAGATGGGGCCTTCTGGTGGCGGTGTTTCTGATTTGAAGAGCCTGACATACCTTTAAAAAAGAAAGAATTCGAAAAGATAAAACCTCAAAGTCACACTAACTTGGTTGGGCTTTTAGCTTTAGATAATCTATGCCTGGAGCTACTGCGTATGACATCTGTTAGATACAGGTTAGGCACTTCCTGTCCATTCTGTATCATCAGGGATTAAGAGGCTAAAATAAAATGAAAAACCTAAAACACTCTGCAAAGTGTATCATGGTGTTTTTAATTGGATACAAAACTTAAGAGCAATAAATGGGACTATAAGATGGGCCAGGGAAAGCTCAAGTGCCTTGTTTTTTGTTTTGTTTTGTTCTTTTTACATCCACTGCATGGATAAGTTCATAGCCTCATGGCATGTTTTATTGGCATGATTTTCCATGTGCGTTCTTGGGGCTACCAGAATCAAAATCACATGGGTGTTCACCTTAAATTGCAGATTCCGGAGCTTCATACCACACTTAATCAGAATATCTGGGTGGGGGTTCTTAGGAACCAGCATTTTTAATAATTTCCCAGGTAATTCTCAGGGACAGTAATATTTATGAATCCCTGCTTTCAATAGAAATGGGAGTCCACTTCTACAGTGAAGACTTCACATAGCCTTTCACACTGTGCAAAGGAAGAAGGCTTAATTTCTTGAAGGGGATATGAGGTGATCAAGGTTGGAGCTAAAACTAGGTTCCTCTATTTGGTAGAAACACAATACAATGCAATTTTCTGTGAAAGATTGTTCTACTTATTTACTGCTGAGGAAGAAGCATTTTAAAACTTACTGGTTTAAAACAGTAACCATTTTATTAAATCACATGCACTGGTGGATTAGCAATCAGAAGAGTCTCAGATGAGCATGTCTTATACTCTGCGTGTATCACTTGGGTCCTTTGGTGGTATTCAGTGGCAGCCAGGTTGCTCTGGAGCATTCTATGGTAGAAAAGTTAGTGTCAGCTGGGCCCCTCTGCGCTCTAATCTTGGAGCCTTTCCAATGAAAGGGAAGATGGATTTTTAAGGGATGGAGGGTCAGGGACTGAAAGAGCTAAGTGAAAATGGCCAGTTCTCTTAAAAGCTAGGCCTTGAACTGGAATAAAGTCACTTTGTCATGCTCCATTGGCAAAAACAGTCCAGGTCAGACCAAATTGAAGGGCAGTTAATTCTTGATGGGAGCTGTGTCAAACCTGTAATGTGTGCTTCTGAGATACTATGCTTTGAAGGCTGGAACAAGATGGGAGGCCCAGGCTTGATTCCTGGTCCAACCTACAGGTCAGGCATAGTGGCACATGCCTTTGACCCCAGCCACCCAAGGAAGCTGAGGTAAGGATTGTGAGCTCACAGCTGGCCTGGGCAACATAGCAAGACCCTATCCAGGGAAGAGCCAGGAAGAGTCTAATGCAGGAAGATCACAGCAGTGAGACCCTGTCTAAATTTAAAAAAAGGGGGGGGGGCTGCCTTTAGTCCACCACAAATTCTTAGTAATGTTTTTTCTTGTCTATAGATGATAAAGCCACTTAACTGCTTCTCCTCTTGGGATCTTAGGCAGGCACACACATGAGCTGGTGTGAGTTTGAAGCCTTCGGGTCTGGACATGAACCACAGTCAACTACATGGAAGTCCAGTAATGTAACCATTATGCCATCTGCTGGTCCTTCTTTTTGTTTGTGTTTTTGTTTTTTTATGAAGACTTCATTAAGTAGGCATGATTGATTACATCACTGGTCATTGGGAATGAACTCAGCCCCCTCTCCCTAAAAGCTGGGATAGGGCTAAAAGTCCTACCCCTTTAATCACAGAGTTTCTGAGCATATTCAGGAGCTCCCAGCCACTGTCATCTCATTAGCATTAGCATTAGCATTCAAAAAGACACATCAATTCAGAAATTCCAAAGCCTTCTAGAATTATGTGCTGGCAAACTGAGATACAATATCACACTGGCATAATAGCCCCTGGGTCAGTAAGACAAGGCTGGAAGCAAGGCAGTCAGAAGGAGCAAACGGAATTGTGAAAATTACAGGTAATGCTAATGGAGCTGAGGTCAACACAGAATAGTGATACTGCTGACACTTGACATGGGTGATACATGGAGAGGGGATATTTACTGAAGTAAATTTTGGTGAGGACAGTCATGATGGCTATGAAGGTAACCAGGGCTGTCATAACACAGGAAAGCATGCAGCCAAGCAGAGACACCCCTTCCCCTGGCAGCCTTGGCCCAGTGAGCATCCTCTCCTGCACAGACCACAGGATTTCAAAGCTGCCCAAGGAAAGCTCCAGCAGAGGTAAATGTGTCTCATCAAGTGATGTCTACCAGATGGTAGATAAGGAAAATTCTTGTTTTTGAAACTCAGGGCATCACAGAACACAACTTTTCCCATTCATTTTATAAAATCAGGAAAACTTTGATAATAGAGCCTAACAGAGATAGCACCATCAAGAAATTTACAGATGAATATCCTAAGTATACAAAAGTCTGGTATAAAAATACTTTGAAAATCAGCCTATCTATGGTGGCACAGCTTCAAGAGGCTGGGGCTACTTGGGAGGATCCTGCACTGACCCAAACAGGCCAGGCATGCAGGCACACAACTATAATCCTAGCTGGGAGGTTGGGGCAGGAAGACCATGACATGGTGAGACCCAGTCGAAAGTACAACTCTCCTTCTCCACCACTCTCCTTCCCGCCAGCCTCCCTGTCTCTTTTTCCAAAAAAAGACCTAAAAATTGAAAATTGATTTCAATATTTAATTAAAATACATAAGGACCATTGTGATTTATAACGAGTGCTAGAGAATGTTAATATTAGGAGGAATTTATATCAATTGATGTAGAAAAGCCAAATAATGACTTCAATATATGATGAAAAGGAATTTAATAAAATTTAGTCTTGGAGCCAGCAGAAGGCATGGTATTTAAGATGCTGGACTCCCACTTAGTAGTCAACCACAGTTCGAGTCCCAGACCCAGTGGTTGGGTACATATGCGTGTGTGTCCAAAATCTAGAGAGGAGAATGAAGGACAAGGGGCTACAGCTGGCCATCTCCCCTTGGGGATGATTTTTTTTTTTTTACTTTCTCTCTCTGTTTCTCCCTGTCTCTCTCCAGCTAGTGCACATGCCCTAATAAATAAAAATAAATAAAATCTTGTCTCTTAAAAAAGTTTTGGTTTTTCTTGTCAGGTACTTCAATAATGTGATAAAGGATATTTATCTTTAAACATACAGCAAAGTCATTATCATTTAAATTTTAAAAACATGCCTGATGTCACTGCTATCAGATGAGACTGGACTGAAGGGAGTACATAGTCAGTTATAGTCCTTATTTAAAATTTTGATATTTTGGTGGCAAAGTGGTTAAGGCGCTAGACACTCCATATGGTCAACCATGATAAGAGTCTCGGACCTGGTGGCTTGCTTTCTCACTTTTATCTCTCTCTCTCTCTCTGTATATGTGTCTCTCAAATTAAAATGAATGAATAAATAAAACTGAATAAATAAAATTGAATAATTCTTTTAAAATTTTTTGATATTTTGGACATCATGGATATTTTTGCATTAATTTTTTAAATTGTCCATTAAAGTATTTTTTATTTTGATTACTAAATTTTTGGCCTCTCATTAAATTCTGTGCTTCAGACCAGTCACTCTCCTTACCCTAAACTCAGCTGTAGAGGAGAAAGGGAATGCAATTGTAAATAGAGTGGTGAAAAAGCAGGGTAGTAGGGTAGTCAAAGAATCACATAAATCGGTAAAAAAAAAAAAAATAGCATTAATAATTATTTACTTTTATTTAATAAATTTTATTATTGCATTATTTTTGCTATCTTCAAATTTGTTCTGTTAATAGTCTAACTTCTTTTGTTTTAAGCTTACTTCTGAGAAAGACAGAGAGAGAGATAGGCACTCCCAACTGAGTCTTCATGCCATGATCCATTCCCAGCCTCAGCCTGCCTGGATCACAGGCATGCTTGCATCTGGGGGAGGGAGGCTCCTGAATGTAGGCCCAGGAGTGTGGAGAAACATGTCAGGGGCAGCTCTGACTTGCATGCCTTCATTTTAGCAACTGAAGAGAGTAGATAGCTTTTATTCTCCTGCTTTGATTTCAAATGTCTCCAAAGACTCAGCGTGCATTCAGTGATGCAGTTAAAATATAATTTGCAAGTATTTTTAAAAATGGCTATGAGGGCCAGAAGATGGTGTAGCGGTTATGTCACTGGACTCCCACATGGCCAACTGTGCTTCAAGTCCCAGATCCAGTGCCTTGACACTCATGCCGGGTGCATGTGCATACATGCCCAAGATCCCAGGAGGAGAACAGAGGAGAAGAGACTGCATCATGGCCATCCACCCAGGGGGTGATTTCTGACTTTCCCTCTCACTGTCTCTCTCTCTGACGAGCACACATGCCCTAAGCTAAAACCTCAAAAAAAGAAAAGGCTTTGGGTCAGCAAGGTGGCATGGTGGTTAAGGTGCTGGATTCCACATGGCTAACTGTGTAGTTCAAGTCCCAGACCTGATGTCTTGAAAAGCACGTCAGGGGAACCAGCAGTTAGCGTAATGGCTATGTCGCTGGACTCCATGTAGTCGACCGCGGTTCCCGTCCCGGACCCGGTGGCTTAAAACTCACGTCGGGCGCATGTGCGTGCGTGCCCAAGATCCCGAGACCATCCCCCCTGGGGGGGTGATTTCTTGCTTTCTGTCTCTCTGTCTCTCTCTGTCTGCCTGGCGAGCACACATGCCCTATAGCGAAACCTCTCGAAAAAAAAAAAAAAAACACGTCAGGTGTGGGCACACATGTGCATCTTACCAAAATCCTGAGAGAAGAATGAAGAAGGGACTGTGGTGTGGCCATCACTCCCAGGGACAATTTCTCACTTTCTGTCTGTCTTTCTCTGGCGAGCATGCATGCCCTAGAGTAAACTAAAACAATTAAAATGTGGTTCTTGTAGAAATTCAGAATAAATATTTGTCAATGATTTATTACCAATTTATTACCAATAAAGGTATTAGTAGGATGCTAATTCAAATAGCATTTGAGGAATGAGGGTTTTTATATCCACCAGAAAAAGCATTAAAAAAATAAACTGTTAGACTAACACTTCTAGGTAGAAACAAAGCTGGTTAATGTCCTACAAGGCAGTAAACTATAACCTCTGAGATTATCTTTTCAACTGGACAAAAACAATTTGTATGTTTAGCTCACAAGAAGATTCCTACAAATTGACCTGTATCCTTACAGACTTGTAAATCTCCTATCAATAGCAAATTATGAGTCAATTAAACCTCTACAGCCCATTGAAAATCAGATAATCTCCAGCCTACTATATAATGCCCAGGACTACAGCAAAAGAACACCCAGTGATTCCTTTTGCCCATTGTTAGTTTTTGGACAATATTTTTTTTTCGAGAGATTTTGCTATAGGTTACATGGAGACAGAAAGCGAGAAATCACCCTCCCAGGGGGTATGGCCACGCCGCAACCCCTTCACCTCCATTCTCTTTTTGGGATTTTAGGTACACACACAGATGCGCCCAGTGTATTTTAAGCAGCTGGATCCAGGACTCAAACCATGATTGACTACGTGGGAGTCCCCCAATGTAAGCATTACACCATCTGCTGTTGGGATTGAGGATTTGGCCACCTGTGGATCATTTTTGGTTCTCCCAACTGAAGGTTGCAATAGGTATCGGTGCCTAGAGGCCAAGGTGCTGTTAAATACACCACCATGCAGGGCCAGCATGGTGGTGGTGTGGTGGTGTGGTGGTTAAGGCACTGGACTCTGACATGGCCAACCCGAGTTGCAGTCCCAGACCTGGCAGCCTGAAAATCACACTGGGCACATGTGTATACATGTCCAAAATCCCAGTTTCCACTGCAGGGTAGATACTCAATAAATCTTTGTTGAATAGATGTAGTTAGAACTGGACCAGATTCTCTTTATTCGAAAGGTTGCATAATTCGGTTCTGTTTTCCAATACTGAAAACACCGTGTTTTTTACACTGAGACCTTCACATACCTGATCCTCTCTGCCTAGTCAACTCCTCTTAGACTGGAATTTAAATTTCACCTGAGAAAATGTGAACACATATTTTGAATACCAGTATCAAGGCATGTTTCTTTCCTCCCACACAGAGATTTCCTTATGTTGCTCCCTACCTCCCTCATCACAAGTAAGTTCAGTGAGGCCAGGGACCGTGGCACTTTGGATCACTGTTACATTTCTAGCTCCAGCAGCGTCTCCCTGCACATTTTGGGCTCTCATTC